CATTTTCACTTTGTTCTCTTAGTACTATCATGGATTATCTTAATTCACTTACATTATTCTGTTCAAGTCTTTATATTTAAAGTAGATTTTGTGTAGACTCTTACACAGTTCAGTTTATTTTTCAACTTCTTTCAGTTTTGAACTTTTCCTTAAAATTCAAAATGATTGCTAATATAGTTGGATTGATATCCACCATATTTTTACTTTTTTGCTAGTTGTTATATTTTATCTTCAATTTTTTTTCTGCCTAGAGAAGTTTTTAGAGTTTTACATAATTTCATTTTTCTTTGTTAGCATTTATTGTACATCACTTCACAAAATTTCAGGGCTGGCCTTATAGTTTGTAGTGTATATTTATAACTAATGTAAATTAACTGTCCCATATTATACCACTTATTTGTAATAACACATGACCATTATTATAATTTTCCACACTTTTCTTATTGCTGTCATATATTTATGTCTATGCAAACATTCATATCTATAGATGTATAATCTGGAAGATCATTACAATTATTTTAAACTCATATCTTAGATATATAAAGTACAGAAAAATACAAGTTTTTCTTCAGCCTTCATTTATACCTTTTATAATGTTCTTTTCTTTTTTTTCCATAATTTTATTGAGAAACAAATAGCAATGAGACAGTTGCAAACCAAATTGGTAGGAAGTTTCAATAATTAACACATTGCATACATTCTTCCTAGTGGTTAATTACTATACAAGATGCGGACTTGATATCCTATTTACAAACATCATTAGAAAAAAATCCCGCTATTCATTAAGAGAATGTAACTATATATCGATCCTAACTATTTTAAATACACAGATACAAAATGGACATTCATCTGTATCCCTTTTTTTTGTTAAGTTCCATCATTTAAAAACTATAGGTCTGTAAACTCAGCAAAATATTCTAAATGAGTTCCGTAGCCCATAATAGCATTTGGTCTTCTGCTTCACTGGCAATGTCAGAAATTGTTGACCTGATTCCCCTACAGCTCAACATAACACCATGGCTTTACTACTTATTCTTCATTTTTATACTTTTCTGCTGGATGGTTAAGACCAAGGTAAAGCAGGACCTATGCAACAAGGGTTGTAGCTTTTGGGTCTGATAAGGTCAGTGAAATCCCCTCAGGATTTATCCTGAGATCCCGTACCTCAGATTGTAGAACCTTTGTCAGTGTCAGCCATGTAGATGAGTCAAAGCCATTGCTTGGCCAATGTGCCCTCTGTGAAAGCCTGAGAGAATATTTTCTCTCCATGTGGCTCTCCTAAGGCAAACTCTAAATCATCGATCACTTTCTTCTTTGGCCCCATAATCTCCTTAATCAGAAAATTTGGTACACTACCGAGTTACATGACATTAAAGTACAAGTTCTCAAAAGTCCTGAGACTTAATTGACCTTGGAAAGCTAGGGCCAAAATGTTGGCTTTCCTTGCAGCCTCCTTTTTCTCTAATTTTGGTCTGCAAACTTAGGTTGTTAACCATCCAGAAGACAAGCTTATTGTTATTACATACAATCTAGGCTGTTAGGCTTAACCTCACTACCTGTCTGAGTATCAAACATCTTAGGCATAACATGGAATAGGTATTTTTCATCAAGTATTGATATGTTAAACTTTAAATCCCTATAGAATATGATGAAAAAACATTTAAAAATTACAATATATTTTAAAAATAGGCATAAAGAATTATGTACTTCTTATGTTTACACATAAGTCCAAAAATCTAACCATAAAAAACATTGAAGCAGGACAGTTCCACAATATTCCTTTTCCTGTCTCTTGCCTTCATTCACCACCCCCTTCTTTTTGAACAATCATCTACCTGAGAGACAGCACAGCAGCAACTGGCATGTCATGACAAGCAGCCCGTATTCAGAAGAGCAGAATGACAGGCACTCCAAGCATGAAACTACTATTACAGATTACCATCTTCAGTGCTGTTGCTTAGTTCAAAGGTATAAATATATATAGTTAGCCAGGATGAGAATCTTTCCAATTAACTGCTAGATTCAAAACTCTTCTGGAGATTCTCAGGATCATTGCCTTGCCCATCTTCTATATATAACTGTATGGCTTGACATTGTCATGTTTCTTAGCTCTTCTCCTTTCCCTCTTTTGATTAGCTAGTCCTTGAGATCCTGCTGTCCTTTTACTTGTATTATACCTTTCTATTTGCATTTCTTCTTTTGAGTTCTTATACTAGGGAAACTACATGATATTTACACGTGTGTCTGGTTTATTTCACTTATGAGTATATGTTCAAGTGGCATCCATGTCAATATAAAGGCTTTGAGTTTATCATTCTTTATAGTTGAGTAATACTACATTGTGTAGAAATACCACATCTTTTTCAACCATTCCTCAGGTGATGGGCATCTTAGTTGTTTCCAAGATTTGGTTATCATAAATTGTGCTGCTATAAACATAAGCACACAAATATCCGTACGATGTGATGTTTTCAGATCCTCTGGGAAAATTCCCAGTAGAGAAATAGCTGGTTTAAAGGGGATTTCCAATCCAAATTTTCTAAGGAGTCTCCACACTGATTTCCATAATGGTTGCACGAGTATACATTCCCACCAGCAGTGGAGCAGGGTTCCTTTTTCCCCCACAACCTCTTCAACATTTATTTATGGGTGATTTCTTCATGATAGCCGTTCTTTCAGGGGTGAGATGATATCTCAATGTTGTTTTAATTTGCATTTCGTTGATGGCTAGTGATGTGGAACATTTTTTCATATATTTATTCGTTTCTATGATTTCATCCTCTGAGAAGCATGTGTTCATGTT